ACCCACCCGGTGTTTTTCACCGGGTGTAGCATCGAACAAATCGGGTATTTAATCAGTATTTTCAAAAGTTTTTACAAATACCACCGGCCATAACATCATAAGAAAGTGTAATTTTATGATTACAATGGCTTAAAAATTCAAAATGTGATAAATTGATACAAAATTTAAATCTCTATAAATTAATACAGTCGTAACTAGCAAAATTCTATTAATTTAGTGAAATATTAAATTAATACAGTCGAGACCAAGAGAAATTATTATTTAAACAAGATTTCAACCGTACTTTATGGGGTTTATTTTGTTCATTTACAACTAAGGTGTTCAAATTTTGTTTGATTGATTTTTGGATTGGACGACTTTCTTTCAAATTCGTTTTCGAATAAAATTGAATGTAAATTTTGAGGTTTGAATTTTCTTTTTACAAATTGGGATTTTTGGGTCTTCAGGAACGTGTCACAGGGGGTCGTATTCATGATTCATATGGTATTTTATTGCATGTGATCCACTAATATTGTGAGTTGACGTGCTTCATCCAATCACTTATGGTCTCTTCACAACACTAATTTAAAATTCCAAATTTCAAAATTTCTTAAAAATTACACTTATAACATCAATATTATATCATTTTAAATTAATATTTAAAAAAATTCGAAGTGCTAATTCGAATTTGATTAGTCCAATTTCCACGCCTTACGAAATTTGAATTCAATAATCGTTTTTATGCAACAGCTAAGCATAACAAATTAGTGGGCTTCATAATTCGATGCATGGTAGCATATGCATAGCCCATAACAGAAAATTAAACCCAGTCAACATATAATTGTCTGGTCAAGGGAAATTGAAGATGACCTGGCCTGTTCATATATTGAAACTTCTTTAGGTTAGGGTCTTTGGGTCTTAAGTAATTACAAAACTGGACTGAGAAGTCTTGTCAATTAGTCAAATTGACCCACAAAATAAAAATAAAATTTGGCTTACTAATAATATATTTTTTATAAATTATTAAAACAAAAAATGAAGAATATAAAAAAAAAAATGAAATTATTTTAAGAACTTATGATATAATTTATTTTGAGAGGATAATTTTTTTTCTTTTTCAAATAGTTATAAGTAGTGCAAAATTTATATTAATCAAGGTTGTAAACAGCGGTAATCGGGTCGGAGGTGGTTATGCACCGACTCATAATTAATCGGTGCGGCGGTGATTAATCGGTGATAAATCGTAAATAAATCGATTTTGAAAATTTAATATAGTATATTTATAGATATTATTTATAAATACTCAAAACATATATAAATAGATATTTAAATATAGTTATATATTTATCATGTATATATCCTAATAACATAATAAAAGTTTAATAATAATAAGATCATAAAATATAAATATCCTTATAAAATATCAATAAAAAAGCAAATTTTTTGAAGTGTTGGCATACATCATTAGATTCTTTAACAATAACAGTTCACATAAATAAATAAAACCTAAACTCAATTTTTTTAATTAAAATACCAACTTTTATTTTGGAAAAAAAAAAAAACCCGATTCTTGACCGATATTTGCCACCGAAGTTTGACCGTCTCAATCCGGCTCAGACCGCCTAAAACCGCTTCACAGGCAGAAACCAATTTTTTCAAATATTTACACTAAAATTGCAAAGGTTTGGGACCGCCTCCACCTCGGAGACCGATTAATCGGTCAATTTTTAGAATATTGATATTAATAATTATAGTAAATAGTAATATATATCACTCTATTTATCAGAAATATATAAATATTTATCGGAAAATCGTGGCAGCAATTAAAATTTGCTTTCAAGTACAAAACAAAGCTGAAATAGCAATTAGAACCCTGAAGGCTAAACCCTGAAAATTCTCAGCCTCGTCGTCCCCACTATTACTCAAAGCGTGAGCTATGGCGCGGTGGAAGCCTACTGCAGCCCTAAGATCGACGGTTAAAGAGCGGAAGCCGATTGATAAGAAGCCGAGCAATGCCGAACGATCGGCTCTCTTCGCCAGACGAGAAGCCGCTAAAGTTTTGCGCAGCACGCTCCAGGGCGACGCCCGGCGCCGAGCCGTCGGCTCAATTAAGTCGCTCGTTTACAGCCCTTCCGTCAGGAACAAAAAGGCTACCTTTGCCCTGGTCTGCCAAACTCTCAAGCGTACGTTAGCAACACTTGTTGAATTTAGATTGTACAATCAGTTAAGCAGAGTGTATAACACTCTGTTAAAATGTTAATTAGGGAAAAAAAGAAGCTGTGGATTTGTTCTCAGGAGTGTAACTGAATCTTCAGAGCAGAAAAGCATATTGTTTAATCATTTATGTTTATGGTATTAAATTTATAATCTCTTGGCTAAACTAAGTTCTGGCTGAATTTCAATTGAAGCACAATAAGTGGATAGATTAGTGCTTTTGTTTTGATGCTCTTTGTTTTTGATTTGTAGATCTCTCAATTATTAAGGATGTTTTGGAGGAAGCAAATGTTCTAAGTGCCAAGTGGAAGGTAGTAACCACCAGATAAATATTAATGCAACTATGTGAACTAAATTTCTTTTTCGGATAGTGTTTTCTTTCAATATCGAAGATATTATGCCAATTTCATTTTTTTGCTTGTTTGTACAGAAACACCAAGAACTAATGTATATCATCGCATATGATTTACTCTTTGGACAGGTAAGATGTTTTGCCATTTCTTTAAGTAGTTTTCGGTATTTTCTATATATCATAGCCGTTGTTCTATTGTCATTTTCTTCGAGCCATTGACTTACACATCTTTCTGTAGGAAGTTTCGTTAAGTGGTGATGCTGAAAAGTATCTCATGCTGAAGAAAGATGCACTACAATCAGCTCTATCACGTATTTTAAGGCGTAAGGGAGTGAAAACTGTAGAAGACTTGCTGGGTCTTGATAAAAAATCTGGTATACCGCCTCTTCAGTGTTCTTGCTTTGCTGATTAAATACTTTTCATATCAGTCTGGTCTTTTAAAAATTGACATTATCGAGAAATTGTGATATTCCTTGTTTAAAAGTAAAGAATGGCTATTTGTTTCTGGTTTGCTATGTGTGCGCTATGATAATGTAGTGATAAAGTCTATGAATTAACCGAGCTGAGCCATCTGAATGCAGAAAAGAATCAATGAATTTAACTTTTGTGTCAGTCCCTCTAATGCACCCGAAAGACATGTTCATCAGGAATTTATGTTTAGGCAACTATTGAGTTTTCCCACTTTCCTAAATTCTATAATCTGTTTCTCTGCAGAAGTAAGAAAACCTCGTTATGTTCGTGTGAACACTTTAAAGATAGACGCAGAATACGCCAAAAGCGAATTAAGACAACAATATTCGGTATGTTATATTATTTAAAGGAGACGTCTAATTTAAATGAAGATTTTATTTGACTGTCGCCTCTATCAATCAGGTCCAAGAGGATGACATGGTGCCGGATTTGTTGATCCTCCCACCAGGTGCTGATCTGCACAATCATCCTCTAGTCAAGAACGGAAGTATTTTCTTGCAGGTATTTATTTCCCAGAGTTTAAAAAACGTCTTATTTGCATCTAAAGTCGGAAAAAGACAATGGAACATGAACTGGAAGTATGAAATAAGAATACCTGTTTTTCTTTTAGGGAAGGGCAAGCTCGATGGCTGCCGTAGCTCTTGGACCGAAACCTGGATGGAAGGTACAGTACTTGTCAAGCCATATATATATAATATTGTTTAATCTTCACTTTTTTTCTGTTGCCTAAGACAACTGTTTTTACGAAGGTCATTGATGCTTGCTCAGCTCCTGGTAACAAAACTGTGCATCTTGCCGCTCTTATGAAGGGCAAGGGGAAAATTATAGCTTGTGAACTTAACAAAGACAGGGTTAAGCGCCTGCAAGATAACGTCAAACTGGCGGGAGCCATAAGTATCCTTTGTGTCATTACTTTTCCCCCACCTATTTCTGATTTATCGAATAAATTGCAAAAATAATCTGCCCATCGATTTTTGTTAGATGGTAAACTTAACTTGGCCTAGATGTGAAAGTTAAGCATGGAGACTTCTTAAATCTTGACCCTAAAGATCCTTCATATTCGAAGGTAATCCTTACTTGTTTTATGGTCTTCGTGATTATGGTGTGATATTATCTTGTTGATTGATACAAGTGTTGAAGTTCTCACAAATATATTTTTTTAATTTCGTAGGTACGAGCTATACTCTTAGATCCATCATGTTCTGGATCAGGCACTGCCTTTGACAGATTAGATCATTTACTCCCATCGCATAGCGCAGGTGACTATTACGTTTCTAACTCTGACACTTTTGATATAAACCTTAGTACTTGAATGGTTTTTTCCCCCCTTAAAAGAGAGAAGAAACAATATTGGCATTATGAATAGCGATTACAGTTTACAACACACACATGCACGAAAAGTATTTGAACCCGTTTATTCATGCAACATATTCTCTTTCTTGATTACTTTCAGAAGGCACCTCTGATCATGTTGATGTAAAGCGACTTCAGAAGCTTGCCGGTTTCCAAAAGAAGGCTCTAGAACACGCATTATCTTGTAAGGCTAAAATCTGATTACTCATCGTTGTTGATTCCTGCGCAAATAAACCTTTTTGAACTAGGAATCTTTCTCCTGTTCCGACAGTAGTAATTATTGTTATTTTGTTTTTCAATTTATGAATCAAGATTCAAGACCTTTTTCTTCACGACTCCTTTTCGATTTATGCAAAAAACACTAATTTGTTCTTACTGTTGTATTTGGTATAGTCCCATCAGTGGAGAGAATTGTTTACAGCACATGCTCAATACATCAAACTGAGAATGAAGATGTTGTCAACTCTGTTTTGCATTTTGCTTCATCACTTGGCTTCCAACTCGCAACAGCGTTTCCCCAATGGCCTCGTCGTGGTCTCCCTACTTTCGACGGGTGTAAGTTCTTTACCGTACAATAAAATCTATAACTCAAACATTTAACTTTGGTTAGTAATAATGATTAACGTTATCTTTAACTTTCTTCTTTTCAGCTGAACATTTGTTACGAACAGATCCAACGATCGACAAAGAAGGCTTCTTCATCTCTCTATTTGTTCGAGAAGGCCTTGCACAAAATGAAGAACACCAAATTCGCAGAAACTCCCATAGCAGGGCTAGAAAACCTCTAAACATCTTCGTGGCGAAAATGCTTAAAGTTTCGAGGCACCACCGATTTAAACTCTCTTGCAACAGAGCAAATGCAGCATCGTCTCGAGGTATCTAAACTTTTTTGTAGACTATTTATTATACGCAATTTTTCAACTTCAAAAATTTTGATACAAAATTGAGTATAAAGATGTTGATTTTTAGTGCAAGAAGATTGAATTCAAAACATAGATCATAATCATTCATCATTTCATTTCAAAAACCACAATACCACAACCACAAAAGCAAAATCACATGACAAAAAGTTGTCATGTAACCAAAACAAAAACATTATTCAATACTAACTCGAAACCTTAACACATAACAGAAATACACAGAACCAGTCTCTTCAAGCAATTTTAACCTCAATAGTCTTGGGCTTCTTCGGCTCCGGTGGAGGCAGTTTCTCCACTGTGACAGTCAACACTCCATCCTGACAAACAGCCGTGATCTTATCAGTGTTGGCATTCTCCGGCAACACAAATTTCCTCATAAACTTTCCGATCCTTCGCTCCATTCTGACGTACTTGGCCCCTTCCTTCTCCTCTTCCCTCTTCCTTTCCCCGCTGATCAGCAAAAGATTGTCTTCCTCAACCTGCACTTTAATGTCGCCGGATTTTAATCCCGGCATGTCGATCACGAAAACGTAGGAGTTGGGGTATTCTTTGACGTCAGCAGGCGTTGCCGCCATCGCCTTGGCGTCACGGACGTAGGTTCTGGTTGGTGCGCTGACCGATTTGGTCGAGTCGGAATCGTCTGTGTCGAGCATGTTGTGGAGAGTGTGGAGGAGTGGCGCGTCGAATCCCATTAGTCTGAAATCCATTTTCTTTTTTCACAGAAATGTAGGATTAATTCTTTTGAGAGAGGATTTTTTTTTTTTCTGATGGTATTTTGCAGATGTTAATTGACGAGTAGTGTGGGGGGTGGATTTATAGTGTGGGTGTGGAAGAAGAAGAAGTAGAATGCAGAAGTTTCTAGAGAGGGAAAACTGAATTCTGGCGCTATCTGGTAGAATTGATGGGTTTCTAGAAAGTGACCGGTTCGCCACGTGGCAATACGGTAGGAAATTTTGGACCGTTCCTTTTTACTACTTCCACCCTTGCTTTTACCGAAGAATGAAACATTTATTTTTCAACACTATACTATTTTCTATTTAATTATTTTTCAAATACAAGAGTTTATTAGTACTAGTGCATTACACAACGATTTATTTAAAAATAAAATAAAATATATACATACAATACATATATTATACATACCCTAAAGCAAAACATTTATGTACAAAAACCTATTAAACATAGAGCAGATTTTTCCTCCAACACTTTAATCTTTTTTTGTTCCATCTAATTCTCCAGCACTCTCATGCCAATCACTAGCTTTCATCTCCCCAGTACTCCCTTCTCCTCCGCCGCCAGCGCCGCCGCGCTGCTGAGCGGCGCCAACCTTCACTTCAATCACTTTCGGCTTCTTGGGCTGCGGCGGCGGGCTCTTGTCCACCACCACAGTCAACACCCCGTCCTCGCAAACAGCCGACACCTTCTCCTTATCCGCATTATCCGGCAATTCGAACTTCTTAAGCATCTTCCCAAATCTCCTCTCCATCTTCAAATACTTGACCCCTTCTTCCTTATCCCGCCGCCTCCGCTCCCCACAGACGACCAAAACGTTGTCGTCTTCGAGGTGGACTTGAACCTGGTCGGCCTTCAGCCCCGGCATGTCCACCACGAAGTTGTACGAATTCGGGAGCTCGATGACGTCGGCCGGTGTCGATTTCATGGCTTTGTTGTCGCGGATGAAGGTGCGCGACGGGTGCTGCGGCTTCTCGGTGTCGTCGATGAATTCGAGCATGTCGTGTATTGCTGATATCATCGTGTTGTCTAATCCGAGGTCCCTTAACGCTACTTCCATGGTTGTGGTTTTCCCGGTTTTTTGGAACTGAGCTTATGAACTGAAGTGTTCAATTAGTTGTTGAGTTACTATATATATGTATTTGAAATATGATCCATTTATAAAGTTTTTGGATAAGTGAAAAGTTAAGGCGGTGATAATGACGTGGCATTTGAGTGAGGCACGTGGCGGTGTGGGGAGGGATGTGGTTGCCATGTAGGTGTTTCTGCTTGACATGTAGGATTGTTCTGACATCTGTTTTTTACTTGGGCTAAAAAGCCCAAACTAATGTATACATTATCTATAACAAATGGGCCACATTATATGGAATTTTGTCCAAACTAATGTATGTATTACATTATCTATAACAAATGGGCCACAATATATATGGAATTTTGATTTACAAAATAAAAATTGTAACTTTTTTTCGTCCTATTCGAAAGTGACAAATAAAATCAATATTCTTATGTATTTTTTTTATTATATGTGGAATTTTTTTTTTGAAATTTCGATACACTGATAATTCCATCCGTATTTGGTTTTTGGAACAAAGTTCTTGATTCGAATTTTTGAAAATTTTATTTTAGTTTTTTAATTTTTTTGGGATTTTTTGAATGAATTTGGATCAATTTGTCACTTGAAAAAAATTGAAATTTTCCGAAAATGCTAATTTGATTCGATTTGATTCGATCCGTCCAATTTTCAACCAAGAGATGAAACACGAAACTATACAATAATTTTTCGTATTTTTCTTCTCAATTATCAGCAGCAAACTTTCAGAACACAACAAATTATTGAATTTTTGAATTTCGTCCGATGAGTAATTGTAATTGACCTTACTATATATAGACTTGACACAACTCGTATCGACATATGGGAGCATCAAAGCACATCGTCATCTTCCTCATCTTCCCCGTTAACGATAGCCTCACTTGCCTTCTCCGCAATGTACCCATACTTCCTAAGCAAATACATCACACACCGACTAGCATTACCGACGAACACAACCCCAATCAACGAAAGCCAAACCATAACCGATATCTTCGCCACATCATACACCGTACGCTCCACATGCTTAGGCGTCATGCTGACCAACGTCACGAAGTACGTAAGCGTCTGCGCGCTTATAGCGATCCACATAGTCACCATTTGAGTCCACATCCACCTCCTCTTCCTCATCGGCAATCCACTCACTTGCAGCAAGATTATGCTGAGCGAAGCCAAGAATGCAACCGTGTTGAATATCATGTATTGCCCGTACTTTTTAGGTAGCGTGTACGCCATAACAGATTGTCCTGCCTTGTGGGGTTTGTCCGCACGGATAGTGCTGTTTGGATTGCCCGAGAAATCGTCCTGCCAAACGCCACCTGGCGGGGAGAGGCCGGCTTGGAAAGCCACGGTTGCGAGAAGTGACGCGACGATCATTAGTGCGTTACGTTTTCTGGCTAGCCAATCTGTGTGCTTGTGTTTTTTCTTTGCAGAGTTTTTCGTCGTCTTGTTGATCTCCGAGATATCTGTGTCGTTACGTGCGACGGATTCTCTGCATTTTTCGAGACATTGTTTAATCTCTAAATCCCTCAAGTCTCGTGTGCTTTGTAATAAGAGATCTAACGGCGTTAAGGCGTTTGCATTTCTTGATTCTGCTTCAATTCTTGTGTTATTTAGCAGATACTTTACAATCTGCAAATATTGCAAATCATGACCCTCTATTTTCTCATATTGCTAAAAAATCCCATGTGTTATTTTTATTAGCAAAAAAAACTCCCTATAAAATCTCACTATTTAGGACTTGTGTGATGAAAGAAATGAATTATAGGGGTGTTTACTAATATTAATTAAACACATGGGGTACTAAATGCAATAAAAAATATTAGAGATTGAAATATTGCGCACCTCAATTTGTTTCTTGGCAACTGAAAGATGCAGAACGGTGTTTCCTTCTCGATCCTTCCAATTCAGTAATTTGTCATCTCTCTCAAGAAACTTCAGCAGCAATTTCATCGACTCGAGGCGATTGTACTTCACGCAGAGATGCAAACAGCTCTCTCCTGCGGCGGTCAGCACCGCCGCGGCCGGCGGCGCCGCCTTCAGCAACTCACCCAAAACCACCGTTCTGCCCTTGATCGCCGCCAGATGAAGTGGGCTCCTCCCATCTCCGTCCAAAACATAGCACATCGAAGAATCTACTGAAACTAGATCCTTCACTATTGTCACGTGCCCTTTTGCCGATGCCAAGTGAAGGGCTGAAGACCCTTTTGAATTCAGTGATTTTGATAGCTCGGGATTTGTTGTAAGAATTCTGTTGATGAATTCCACGTGGCCCAGAAGCACTGCTGTGTGTAATTGATTTTCAGACATGGAAGAAATGCTTGAGCTTTGGAGGAGTTGAGGATTTTCTTCTAGAAGCTGTGTAAGAAGTGAAATTGAGCCTATTATTGCTGCTTTTTTTTTATCAATTTTTTTTCTTTTGATTCTGATTCTGAAATTATGGAAGATTTTTTTTTTTTTTTTTTTGATTCTGATTATGAAATTATGAAAGATTTTTTTTTTTTTTGTGGATTTGAGGTTTTATTTGCAGCCTCCAATTAGGACAGGGTTTTTTTGAGTCAAAGGTTATTATTGTAAAAAAAATAATGATATTTTGCATCTAGAAGAACTTATATTTTTGATGATTCCCAGTTTGTATACTTCACGTCTGCAATATGTTTTTAAGAGAGCAAAACTTAACAAATTTGTAAGCAAAATACATTTTATTACATCTTCTGCAAAAATCCAAACTTCAAAACATGAAACTCATTATTGATCAAAAAAAAAAAAAAAAGAATCACACACACATACACACTTGCTTGACAAAAACAGATTCAGACAGTAGAATTTTCCTGGCACGCTTCGACCGAATTTCGAAATCGTTTAGGACGCCATACATTAACACCTTTCTTCTTCAGCCACCTGTCCGCTAACCGAGCCGTGTTCCCAACGAGAAGAGTGGCCATCACAGCAGTCCACACAGCCAACCCGATCTCAATAACATGGCTCAGCGATCTCCCGAACTTTTTCGGAGTGACAGCAGCAATCGACATCGCATATGTCACAGCGATGGATGTTATCGTCACCCACATAATCACCATCAGAATCCACATGAATATCTTCTTCCTAAACGGGAGCCCGCTTATGAGAAGCAATATAGTACTGAGAGACGAGATGAAGGCTATCGTGTTTGCCCTTATGAAGCTCTTGAATGCTTTCGGATGATGGTGCGCCATTATCGACTCCCCTGCTCTGTGTGGGTTTACGAGGTAGTTGCCCTGCGGATCTTGCGTTAGATCTTCTTGCCAAACGCCGCCAGCTGGACTCACTCCGGCTTGAAAGGCCATCGTTGCTATGAGGATCGCGACCACCATTATGGAGTCCCGTTTCTTGGTAAGCCATTTGATTGGTTTGTTGTTGTATGCTGTTTTGGTGTTGTAGTTTGTCGCGTTCACATCCATGTCTGTGTTTTGCACCAAGTATCGAATTATCTGCAACCATTTTCCGTTCAACTTTTAGATAAGAGTACGGAGTTCGTTTCATTCGACACTCCCGTGTTATATCAAATTGTTAAAAAAAACTCCTTTTGTTGTAAAAATGAGGAAAAAAAACCCTCAAAACGATGCGTTTAGGGGTAGTTTGCTAATAACATTGAATCATAGGGGTTATTTTTGCTAATATTTATAACATGGAGGTGCTGAATGCAATTAAACCGAAAAGTATGATTACATGTTATGATCTGTTAAACCAATCAGGTAAAACAGTCCTTCATAATCATTTGCAAGTTGCAACTGAAAAATATGCAGATAGAGATAGAAGAAGAAAATTAAATAATCATCACATGCACACGATGAATCCATCGACTACCGTTGAAATTATGCCGGAAAAAAAAAAAAAAAACCCCGACTTTGTAAAAATACCTCCGATTGTTTATTCCCGAGTGCCATGTGCAATATGGTGTTGCCGTCGTCATCCTCTGAATAGAGGAGTTCCTTAAAGATAGGCACCAGAATCTTCAAAGATTCTAACTGGGAGTACTTAACGCACAAATGCAAAACGGTGAGGCCTCGATCGAGCTTTTCTCGGGCAGCGACGGGAGCTGCCTCAACGAGCAACGTCACGACCAAATCATGGCCTTTCATGGCTGCGAGATGTAGAGGATTCCTGCCCTGAGAGTCGCGCGATAGGCACATATCAGGTGCAGCTGACAACAACTCCTCTGCAATTTCCACATAGCCTCTAGCCGAGGCTATGTGAAGCGCAGACGATTGTTGGGAATCTAGTTCCTCGGCAAGACGAGGATTTATTTTCAAGATTTCTCGAACAAAGGCCAAGTGCCCTTTCGTTGTTGCGATATGTAGAGGAGTCTTGTTTGAACATGTGTACGAAATTTTATCGAGGAGGAATTGATCTGTTTGGTGTAGTTCTTGCAGAGCTCTTGCATCGCCACTCGATGCAGCGTCGTAAAGACGTTGCTCTGCCGATTTTCTTTCCATCTCTCTTAGTCCCATTTTCAGACACAAGAACCATGTTTATGTATAGTATTCGGAATCGAATGACTTCGTTTGACTTGTGATAATGATATTCAGGGAAGACTCGGTCCGGAGATTCACCGGGGGTTGACTCAAGACTTTGCAAGAAGATATGTGGTGTTACTCTGTAGAGAAGACTTTTTCAATCAGGTATCATTATCAAACTAAATTACTAGGAAACCACATATGGCTACATCTGCTAAAGTTTAATGAAGTGAAATTAGTTAGAAAATACACTGTCAGAGGTTAAATCAATTGTAATATATACCTAATACTCTGATTATTTATCTGACCAATAATTATTATTTTTTCTTCATAAGGTTGTTGCATGCAGTTAACAGAGTATTATTCTCCAATGTGTGAGAACCCACAACCAAATATAAATTTGATACACAACTGACTGCTCGTTTAGTCAACACCGTTCTTCGTTTTCTTGTTTTCATATTATGTGAACGTTCGTTCGTTGATAAAGTGCATCGTTCGACACGGTCGTAAAGTCAGTCAATATGCTTATATGCTGATGATAAATTTTCAGTATTAAACTATACAACACATTGCTAACACTTTGACTTTTGAGGTTGCACATGAGAAACTTGGCATTATTGATACAAAGTAAAAACTGAAATATTTTCACACAGACATAAAACAACGAAAGACAAACCGAACAAAAAAAAAAAAAAAAAAATTAAACACCAACATTATTCACAAGAACACGTAATGAAGAAGTTGCTGTAACAACCCTCGTCCTCGATCTCTTCCTCAGCTTCTTAACCGCCATAGCTACCAAACGAAGCGTATGTCCAATGAGGAGTAAAGCCATAAGGCACATCCACACAAATACGGCAGATCCGATCACAGTCAGAACCGTTTTTTGTTCCCGATCGGGGGTCAAAACTAATATCGAGATAGTATAAGTGAGCGCGACAGCTGTAATAGCAACCCATGTAATCACCATCAGAATCCACATAAAGAATCTTCTCCTTATCGGCAATCCACTCATCAGAAGCAATATAATGCTGAGGGATGCAATGAAACCCGTCGTGTTATAGATATAAAACGACACGTACCCTCCGGAGTAGTTATTCGCCATCACGGAAGAACCCGCCGTATGAGGATCGTCCACCGGGTTTCCTTGAGAGTCGATGAGTTTGTCGTCTTGCCATACTCCGCTCGGAGGGTTGACTCCAACTTGGAAAGCCATCGTTGCTATTAGCGAAGCTACAATCATTAACGCACTCTTCTTTTTCTCCAGCCAATCGTCTTGCTGCTTGAGCAACTTCTTCCAGCTATGGGAGTTCGATCGATCGAAAGAAGTAGGCAGGGCTCGGGTTGCTGTCGTTTCTTGATTAAGCATATTCGCCCCGATAACTCCAGCTCTTTTGAGGGAATCTTCGATTTCTAAATCTCGTACGTCCCTTCTACTTTGAATCAAAACGTCTAATGGCGATATCCCGTTAAGATTCAGTGCATTCACTTCGAGTGTAGATACGGTCAACAAGAAGTTGATGGTCTGTTAAAACATTTTCGACTTCAAATTAAATAACTTGGCTATTAAAATGCATTATTTATAAACGGAGATTAGTGATTTTTGAATAATTACCTCAACTTGCTTATCTGCCACAGCTAAATGAAGGAGAGTGTTTCCTTCGGCATCTTTAGAGTTTACGAACACGGGTTCGCGTATAGTACTCACCAGCAGCTTTAAAGGCTCGAGTTGGTAGCGTTTGACGCATAAATGAAGGATGTTTTCTCCTCCGTACACATTCATTTGTGCTGCTTCCGGTTTTGCTCGAAGCAGAATTTTCATGACTTCGATACGGCCTTTGAGTGCTGCTAAATGGAGGGGCGTTAACCCGTTTCTGTCACGGGCTAGGCATGTTTGATGGTCAACCGATAATAGGGCTTTGACCACGTCAACATGGCCTTTTGCTGAAGCTAAATGAAGCGGAGACGATTGCTGGAAGTTCAACTCACTTGTGAGCTCAAGTTTTGCTTTTACGATTTCCTTCACGAAATCGACGTGGCCTAACATTGCTGCCACGTGCAGAGGAGTCTCGGAGAAATAGTTGGCTGAAACTCGATCGAGAATTAGCGGATCGTCTTTTAGCAGCGTTCGCAATGAACTGATGCTCCCTTTTGATGCTGCATCAAATAGCTTAGTTTCTAGTGTTTCCATTTCTTTTGATATGATCAAATATCCAACATTCAACATTTTATATAGACCAATGTATTAAAATAATAACAACCAATGTGTATCTCTCTCTCTGAAAGTCAACTTCCACATAGGTTTTATTTGTCTGAATGTAGCAAATGGCACTGTTGGATTACCAAATCAGATAAATATTCAGAAGAAGTAGTCTCCTACGAAATCAATCATAGTCATACGAATATCGACTTTATGATACGTGCAAATTGCTGCCTTGAATCAAGACTATATATACACTGATTTTGTTTTAACCTTAATTATTCGGTACAGTTGGTTAACAGATTATTGTCCAGGTACGAACTTCATCAGCTACTAAGACGAAGAAACAGAATGAATCACACACGCGCGCGCGCGCACAGATACGCACAAGTAGGGTGCATATTATCACACTCTGAATCGATTTTTCGTTCACTATAATAAGGCACAAGATTTTGTAGAGAGACGAATAATTTAGGAGGATCAACAATTGTCGCAGCACTGGTTGCGACAATTTAAGTCAACCTTTTCACATAGGTTATTTTTTATCGTCTGAACAAGACTGTTGAGCAAATGGCATTGGTGGATTACAAAATCATACAAGAAGAAAAAAATGTAGCTTAATGCAAATTGTTCAACTTTCAATTGTAGTGAAACTCCGATAATTTAATGCCATTTCGGTAGAATTGATACAAACTGAAATTTCACAAAGCTGAACATTATAATTTCACAACATTTCAAACATCACAAGACAAATAAACAAACAAATAAACAAAGAAAGAAACAAGGAAAGAAAGTAAGATTTAAACGCCATCGTTATCGAGACGAACAACAGATGAAGTTGGTGTATGAATTTTCGTTAGCCTCCTCCTCAACTTTCTAACTATCTTCAACACCAAACGAATCGTATGTCCAACCAAGAGGAGACCCATCAGGGAGACCCACACATATATAGTGTATATTATCAAACTAGCAAATGTTCCATCTAACGGTGTCAGCATTACTACCGAGTCTAAGTAAACTATCGCAGTTGCTGTGATTGCAATCCACGTGGTCACCATTAGCACCCACATAAAAAACCTGTGCCTTATCGGCAATCCACTCATCAAAAGCAATATAATGCTGAGAGAGGCAATGAATCCTATTGTGTTATACATATAAAATATCGAGTAAAAATCTGGAAAGTTACGCGACATTATAGAATATCCCGCATATTGAGGTTCAAACGTGGGATCTCCAGGCTCAACTAGTTTATCCTCTTGCCATACTCCGCCTGGCGGGTTTACTCCAACTTGAAATGCCATTGTTGCAAGCAGTGAAGCCACAATCATCAATGCACTCTTCTTTCTCTCCAGCCAATCATGATCTTGTTGCTTGTTTTTCTTCTTCACATTTGTCGATGAAGGAAAGGCTCGAGTTGTTGTCTTGTTATTATTAATCTCTAAATTTCCAATGGCACCAGCTTTTTTGAGGGACTCTTCGATTTCTAAATCCCTAACATCTCTTCGGCTTTGAGTCAAAATGTCCACAGCTGTCATCCCGTTAAGATTCAGCGCATTCACCTCAAATGCAGGCACACTCACCAAGAAGTTGATCGTCTAATTAATTAAAGAAAGAGCTTCCATCATCAGCTTTAAATAATAATAAAGAAAAAAAACAAAATAGATATATATGTATGTATGTATGTATGCATGTATGTATCTATACCTCAACTTGCTTGTCTGCGACAGCTTCCATCACCATCTTTAGAGTTTACGAACCGAGGATGGCCTAAAGTAGTCTTCATCAAGAGCTTTAGAGACTCTAGTTGGTAGTGTTTGACACACAAATGAAGGATGTTTTCTTCTCTATGCACCGTCACTTGTGCTGCTTCAGGCTTTGCTCGGAGCAGCATTTTCATGACTTCAACATGGCCTTTCAGTGCTGCTAGATGAACAGGGGTTAGCCCATTTCTGTCACGAGCTACGCATGTTCGATGGTCAACCGATAACAGGGCTTTGACCACATCAACATGGCCTTTAGCTGAAGCTAAATGAAGAGGAGACGAGTGCTGGAAATTCAACTCACTTGTGAGCTCAGGTTTTGCTTTTATGATTTCCTTCACGAAATCGACATGGCCTAACAATTCTGCTACATGCAATGGAGTTTCGGAGAAACAATTGACCGAAATTCTATCGAGAATTAGCGGATCATCTTTTAGCAGCTTATGCCCTTTTGATGCTGCTTCGAATAGCTTACTTTGTAATGTCTCCATTTCTTTTTTGATCTATGATCCAATATCCAACATTCAAAATAACCATATACATATATATAAACCGAATTAATGTGTGAACAAGTCTGCAGGTAGCAATGGCATTGGTGGACTACACGAAAATCGATCATCCTCGTACGCATATTGACTTCATATGAAATCTTTCATTAATATTTTTTCTTAAGAACCCACAACCAAATATAAACTGGATTCATGAATATCACTAACTACTTAAACAAATCAAAAGAATGATTCAGACACACACACATACATAAAAACGACTTTTCCTTGTGACATTCCACCTACACAAGTTTAATACCAACAAGTTGTTAAAGACTTTAAATCTAAATTTTGGAATTCAAATTCCAAATCGTAAATTGTCGAATTGGAATCGACGGAAATTAGCAATTGTATTTTAATTTCCACCATGAATTCAATTTGGATTCTTAATAATGAGTGAAGCCCGAACATGAAACCCACTTGTAATGAGCTTTAAGTCGTCTGTCTGGTCTGGCCCAATTAATTACTATCAAATAAAAACGTGTTTTAGCCCATCTAACAACATTCAATCAGAAAAACACGATTTTCTCTGGTGCAGTAGACCAAATGCACTATAACAAATCCCCATAGCACAGAGTCTCCTCTTTTTCACTTATTTATACAACGAAAACTTCTCTGCTTTTCTTCTAACAAACACATTTGATCAGCTTCTTCAAGAGTTTCTATCCTCCTTTGTATCCGGTGAAAGAAACTCTTTTGAAGATCCATTTGAATATAGTGACGAGAATTAGCGACGATGAGTTTGGCTATGGCGGAAGACGATTCAGCGACGAAAATCCATCTCCCGGCCGACATAGATTGGGAGATGCTCGACAAATCCAAGTTCTTCTTCCTCGGCGCCGCCCTATTCTCATGCGTTTCCGGCTCCCTCTACCCAATCGTCGTCCTGAAAACACGTCAGCAAGTGATGATCAACGCCATCCCCTGCTTCAAAATGGCGTCGTCGATTCTCCGCAGCGAGGGTTACAGAGGATTCTACTCCGGCTTCGGCACTTCTCTAATGGGAACCATCCCCGCACGTGCCCTTTACACGTGCGCCCTCGAAGTCACCAAGAGCCATCTTGGCAATGCCGGCATCTCCCAGCTCGGATTCTCCGACGCCTCCGCCTCCGCTATTGCCAACGCCGCCGCCGGACTTAGCGCCGCCGTGGCCGCACAGTTAGTGTGGACCCCAGTCGACGTTGTCAGCCAGAGGCTAATGGTTCACAAGAATAAATACAACGGTGGAATCGATGCTTTTAGAAAGATACTATACTCCGATGGAGTGAAGGGATTGTACCGAGGGTTTGGATTGTCGATACTAACTTACGCACCTTCGAACGCATTGTGGTGGGCTTCTTACTCCGCCGCCAATCGACTTATTTGGAGCGGTTGTAAGCCGGAAGGGAAACAAGTGGTGGCGGCTCAAGGGTTGAGTGCCGCAATGGCTAGCGGCGTGTCTGCGTTAGTCACAATGCCGTTCGATACAATCAAGACGAGATTGCAGGTTTCGGACCGAGAAGGTGGCGGTTTTCGTGGCGGTGGATTATCGGAAAGTATGAGGAGTTTGGTGAAGGAAGGTGGATTAGGAGCTTGCTATAGAGGGTTGGGGCCGAGGTGGGCTTCAATGTCGTTGTCCGCAACGACGATGATTACGACTTACGAGTTTCTCAAGAGGCTTTCGACTAAGGATCAAGATCATAGCTTCGCTTAACGAGTTTTAGTGACGATCGAGAATTGGTTCTAATGTCATAATTAACTATGTAAATTTTGTAACAAAATTGTAGAAATCCATGTTGAATTGTTGTATGACTTGAGATTTGTGGGAATAAGATATTCAATCTTGATAATTTTTCTACATATAATTTCTAACAAAGTCTTGATTTTTGTTTGTGTTTTTGGATTGTGGAATCATAATCAGATGAATTTGATAGCTTAACTCATTCCTGCAATTAAACTGTCACTTTGATTTGCAATCAAACTAGGTCTTCTACATAAAATCTTACCACCTGGATTTTGGCATGTTTTGTATACCTGGAAAATAAGATTTCTTACATGAGCTTGTTAATTCTTGTTTTTTTTTAAATTCTCATATTAATTCCAATTAAAAAAGAAAAACTTTACTACATAGACTGTAGATTATAATTCTTGTGTCAGATCTTGGGAGGGCCAGTTAGGAAGGTGTTTGGCTCTGGCCTTGCGGTGTTGGCCTTAGTTGAGTTGAAGAGACAGATATATATATATATATATATATATATATATATATATATATATATATATATATATATATATATATATATATATATATATATATAACACTGGCTTAGTGGTGCATAGGCCATATATACACTGGGAATCAAGTGTTTAAAAATGATTTGAGGAGTCAAAAAAATAAAATAAATAACCCTTGAAAATAAATAACTCTTGTTCCAAAAGAGTATGAAGGACCTACCCCTTTTTGCCAAATCGCCCCTTGTTAAAATATCTTCTCAATTATTCCACGTGGGCCTTCCAAGATCTAATACAATTTGTCCTTACTCAAATTGTTTTCTCTAAAGTTTATTTTTTTATTTTCTTATTATCCAAATACTAGGAAAAAAATAATGTAAGAAACATATATTATGAAGTGTTGGGAGTTATAAAATCATTTAAACAAAAGTTAATTAGTCAAACATGATATAATTATTGTTTGGTTTCACAATTAAAAGGATATTAAAAATGGAACCAGAAATATGATAAAGAAGGGATGACTTTTTCCCGGGAGAAGAAGGTACAATAACAAGAATAGGTGAGACAAGGAATATGATTCCAATTCATATTGAAATTTCCAGAAGATACCAAAATGGACCACATCATCCATTTATGTGTATATCTTTCTTTGTGCCCATCTTTGCAATTGTACTGTTTTTATCTGCTGTGTGCAAGTGCATGTAGATATAAAGTTCGGTTCAACCCGAACTTAATTACGAAAAAATGATGAAATACGCATGAAAAAATCATGCTACTTGAGGTTGATTCTTGTTTGGCACGATCAAAACTCGACTAGATTGCTTATCAGATCAAGCTTGGAAAAATCATGGGTTCGGCTCAACTCGAATCGTTTACACCCCGAGTTGAGTTACGGGTCGGACTTGATTCTTTTGTCCTAGTCATATTGCATGCAATGGATCACATGTGAATTTGGATTGCTTTTAAAAATAACTTTTTTTTTTTTTTTCTGAAAAATTCAAGTATATCTGATATAGATCTGGATAAAAGCAATCCTTGTGACTTACCATGTGATATATTAGGTGCCTGTCTTTTTAGTTGCATTGTACTTGGTACTAAAAAAAACACATAAAACATAATTAAGAAAAATCAAATCTTTACACCAAGTTCGAATCATCCAAGACACTTAGATACTCCTTCAAATCAAACGACGGGGTCATCTGATCGAATAGATCTTGCACCTCGTGCATCAAACCCCTCGAATGCATCTCCTCAACGAAAACTTCGAAGCAATCTTTCCTAATCGTGAGGCTTTGATCGATCATCTCCTTAAAAAGACAAACCGCCCTTCTAACATCTCCACTTACACAATATGCTCGAATCAAGAAACTGTACAATGTAGTATCGAGACCAAGACCATCTCGAATCATGTCATTAACAATCATGTCAATATCTTGAATCCTTTCTTTGACTCCAACAAGCCCGATTATCACCTCACTGTAAGATATAAAATTTGGGGAGCAACCCCATTGAGGCATCTGCTTCAAAAGAATAATCGTCTTATCAAATTCTTGCAATTTAACATAACTTCTGAAAACGGCGTTGAAGCTAGCTACGATTGGACGAATGCCTCTGGCTTTCATTTCCCTTAATAGTACAACTGCCTCGTCGGGCCTCCCTAATTTGCAGTACTCGTTCACAATCACAGCGAATGACTTTTTATCAAGATTCATACCAAGGCTAACCATTTCTTTGAAATGCGTAATAGCCTCATTGGATCTCCCCGCAACGCAATATCCCTTCAATAAACTCGTATGAGTGGCGAGGTTCTCCTTCACTCCAGCAAACCTCATCCTAGTCATCATCCTCCTCGCTTCATCCACGTCACCATTCAGACAAAACCCGTTGATCAAAACATTGTAAGTGAACACATTAGGCTCGCAATTGTCGCCCTTACTCACCATTTCATCGAAGCACATAATTGCATTCTTGAACTCGCCTTTCTTGCAGTACCCATCGATCAAAGTTGTATACGAAACAGTATCGGGTAGACAGCCCTCATCCGCAACCATCCGATCCATAATTCTTCGTGCGCTTTCGACTAAGCCCTTCTTGCAGAACCCATCAATGATAATGTTGTAAGTTATCGAGTTCTTCCCACAGGTCATTTCGTCGAACACCTTCTCCGCATCCTCGATCATGCCCACATTACACAAACCTTTGATTATGGTCGTGTAAGTGGAAACATCAGGTGTAACTAGACATGATTTAATGACAATCTGACCAAAGTAACCCCAAGCAAGACTAACCTTGTTGGCCTTAACCAGAATACCAAGCAACGTATTGAAAGAGAACAAACAGTCCCCTGTTTCCGTCTTCAATTGCTTAAAAAGCTTCGCAGCCCATTTTAGGTGTCCCAAATCACCATGGGCTTTGATAAACTTACCCACCATAAAATCTGAAAATTTGTTGTGGGTTTTCAGCAAATCAGCTGCTAACGAAAATAGCTTGTGTGATAGAAGTTTGTCAGTTATCGCAACATAGCAAAAATGGGAGTGGCGATAATGGTTAGGGTTAGGGTTTGAGGCCCAGGTGAAGAAGAAGAGAGAGTGGTAAGGATTTGTCTGATTTTTGATAATTTCGATTACTAAATTAGGGTTTAAGTACGGAGAGAATTGATTGAGGATAGAAGGATCAGGGTTTTGGTGGGTTTGAGGGTTTTGGGGATTTAGGGATTGGAGGAGTGATGTTATTGTAGGGATGAGTGCGGCAGAGTCGGAGAGCAGAGGAGACAGTGGCTGATGCAGGCGGCGCGCGGCGGTTGCCGCGGCGGTCATTGTGCTGCTTGGCGGAATCTTGATTTCCTTTTTCCCAATTTACAACATTTCACTAATCTAATAGAATACTTTTAATGGGCAGAATGAGCAAAATAAAACCATTTAAAAATGATTATAATTTATATTAATTAATTAGTATTTTCAAGAATGATTTTTGGAAGATAAAAATGCAATCTTTACTATGAATCACTAGTCAATTCCATATTTCAAATTTCAGACAATCAACATTTTTCTTCCAACTATGAAATCACATTCCACATTACTCTGTTCCATCAATTTACAGACAAGCTAAACGAAATCCGGTGGCCGGAGCGCTGCTGCAGCAGACACCGGTGGGGCGGCAACCGTCTGATTAGGCCACCCCATAATATGAACCTGAACACTGTCCATTTTCTCAAGTGCCGAAAATAGCGCTTCCTTAATATCACCGTTGTCGCAGCAATGAATTAATCCTTCCGAGTCAACGGTCGAAGGCATCAAACTCTTCCCTTGTAGCCTCGATATCACAAGCATATGCCCCATTCTATTTGCCTGCTTGAATAGTTCACCGAGGCCAGCTCGCTCAGCCGCTGTCCCCGTTGTTATCGAGTAAATGCCGATAAACCCCTGCAAGAAAAAAAAAACATTCGTGTGAGAATTTTTCTTGTTTAATATATATAATTTTTTGTTAGTTATTCGTTATTACCTCTTCAGTTCGTTTAATTTCCATGCCGAATCGGGTTTCCCCATGTTCGGGAGATAGCTGCAGTGCCACCTCAGCAACACCAGGTAAGAACCAAAATCTTATACCTTGTACAATATTAACTGTTGTATTGATATTTTCTTGTCTACTCCAAGCCAACTCTTTGCCTGCGTCCTGATTCGTATCGTTCAAATGAAATTATATATTCAAATCTCGAGAACAAATTCTTTTTTTTTCGAAGACAATAATAGAGATTAAAGAAAGGATCGATATACATACTGAAGTGATCGTCTGTTCGGTTTGAATGTTGATGAAAACAAGCGGAATTCCCGAAGAAACTGCCGCAGAAAACCAGGCCATCACTCTCACGGTGAGTGCTTCTATGCCGCGTTCTCTTACGAGAGGCATGAACAGAATCGAACTAACTACAGTCGATCTTCGATCGGGCAAATACGAACCCACTTTATGTTTCCAGTCGTATTTCATTCCCTTTCGATGAAATCCTTTAAAATCTAAATTCACTACTCTTCTACTCATCTCTGTCACATTCAAATACATACATACTGAACACTAATTCTATATACTTAAGTGTAATATATATAAAAAAAAAAAAGTCACCTTGGAGTTGAAAGCACTCTTCGAAAGTCAAATCCGCAAGAACGGCGACGTGTCTCTCGTTGGAGGCTGCTCTAACGGTGAACATTTTCTGCAGCTTAAGGGTTTTATCCGGTACAACACACGCGCGGAGTTTCACCGTACCCTCGCCCCTTCTCACCTTCAACCACACACTATCTGCCACGCGGTTTATTTTGCCGAGATGAGAGCTGAGTTCGGATCTAGCCTTGGCCGAAACAAAAGAGGCATCCGCACCGTCTTTTGCTACGCCTTCTATTATATCTCCAGGCAACGGCATCGTTTCGTCCCATTCTTCTGCCGCGTTTTGCTTCACTTGTTTTACGCAAACAACTGTCTCGGAAGGGACCATATTATCGAGGACAGAGAAAAATGCATGCGAAATAGTAATTGTTTCACTCTTCTTATATCCAAAATATTACAACAAAATTGCATAGGAAATGCGGTTTTTTCTATGAAGAGGGATTTTTAGTTCTCGACGTTGGATAATTAAATTATTGTCCTTTAGCATATATTTATTTCTGATCCTATGCTTTGGTTTTTCCAATGTCTTTTTCTTGCTACAATGGCCGGTTTATATAATTTCCTAAGTTCTTGTCACTAGGTATACCGTAGACAAGTTTACCTACCAATATATAATATTGAAGTCAACTCGACATCGACAGCAGTTTAAGTATTGATGTTACAGAAAAAAAAAAATATTAGCAAACAATCAGAAAAATTTAATCGGTTTTTCATGACAACAACTAAACCTAATAACAAAAAAAAGATATAAATCGACAACAGCAATCTTGACTCGTTTACTCGTGACTCGGTGAATTGACCATGCCACCATTTCCTTGGTAAATATTGGCAAGTTCTGTTTGAAGCTGTTGTATCTCTATCGAAGCGCGTGCTCTTTCATTTGCGTCGTTTGAATTCAAACTCTGCTTCTTTTTCGATATACTACTCTTGATGCTCTTTATCTACAATAAATTAAGAAAGCTAGGATTAATTAAATGTTATCTACAAATATACATGAAGAGGAGAACAAGAAGTGTACATAAAGGTACACCTTTCTGTGGGGCCACCTAGACAAGCCTCCTTTTCGGCATATACCTTTTAATGCCGACGCACATATTTTTAATTGTTTCGAAGCAACGTTAATCGGAAGATGGAAGTAACCTGCCACATCCTTCAATTTCATCCTCCCTGTTCTTTCCCTCTGTTCTACTCATCATAAGCACAAAATTAGCAAAATTTCGCATTAGAAAAGTCGAATATATATACAATATATATAACACCACAAATATACAAAATTTTGTTCGGAAAAAACGGAAATGTTTAATACAAACCTGTGATGCAATGTTGCTCTTAGTCACCCTTACTACATTATTTCCCTCTTCTTCTTGGTTCACATGCATTTCCTCTGTACAAGATATAAGGATACATTATCGTCTTAAATAAAAAAAATAAAATAACCGAAAATGAAAAACGGGCTCTGATTTTGAACCTCTTGGAGTTTCGTGAAGGAAAATATCATCGTCAAAATTTCCGACGTCGCTATAAAATCCGATGCACAAGGCATTGTAGAAGTTAGAGAGAGGATCATGTAGCATGATATAGCCTTCTCGTTTACGGTCATCGCAATATTGAACTAAGAATTGCTTCACACTTAACATGCTTTCTTGGCAGAAACTGTCGAAAATTCGAACATAAATAATTTTACTAGAATCCACAAAAATGGTTCCTTGTACAAAAAAAAGTAGGTGTGTATCTATCTGAAAAATGCTTACTCAAACATTTGATACTCGTGATTTTCGGAAGGCGTATCGGTATTGTATCTATCGAGAATAGCGTGGCTGATTAGGCCTAATCTTCCGTGTATATCAAGCTTCAACACATTAGTACCTACGGAAAATAAAAAATAAAAAATAATTATATACGAACATCATAAGTGTCGGGAAATTAGATGCACTTGATGATTTTGAACCGTAAATCTACACATAATCGTACACACATCCATTTGAATGTATGCAAATCAAATCTACGGAGCAAATAGATTGATGTAAATAATCGATTGTAGCATCTGACTCCCCATAAGTGTCACACACATTGAGACACGTGGCTTTAGAAATAAAACAAACATACCATTAGTGTGGAAAATTTGTCGGAGTGTTTGGCAACAAGTGCAACTGTAGGGAGAAGGTGGGGGTGGCCAAATTGGGATTTGTATCGGATTTCCGAAATTGGAATTCAGCGGCAAATCCATGAAGTTGTTGTTTTCATTATTATTAATACAGATATTTTCGTCGAAGGAGATTCCTGAAAAGTGGGTCCCATGATTTCCATCGTAACTATGGTGCGCCTGCATCATGTTATTTGCCAGGCTGTTCTGCAAAGTGTCATCGGGAATTTCGTCGGACATTAGTAATTGTTCTGCACTTGAAATGGCAGCGATGATGTCATCATTAATGCCTGGAAAGTTGGAATTTTGGTCTGCCATTAGTAAAACTTTCTTCGGCGGTTTTTTTTTTTGTGGCGGCGACGCCTGGTACAGACCAAGCGCCGCGGTGGTGGGTTTCTATCTGGTGTTTCAGAATTAATTAGCAGAAGGGGATAATTCCTAATTTGAATTGCAACTCCTGGAAATATAAGGGGAAAATGCGCGACAGGGGCATAATTAAGGTAGTTAACACCCGTTGTTAATAATAATAATAATTTACAAAAATCAAAATAAATAACGGTAAAACATTCAAAAATATATATATATATATATATATATATATATATATATATATATATATATATGTGTGTGTGTGTATATTTTTTTTTTTTTTTTTCTTTTATGGAATTGTTGAAATATTGTTGTCCGCAATTATTTTTACCGGGTACTAAACTGAATTTTGTTTGATTTGACATAATTTTATTTTCATGCTGCATGCATGCAGTACTGTGTATTTATTTTACATTATTCTATTATAAAACAATATTAAAAAATATAATTAGAAAATGGATGAGATGGACTGGTCAACTCTGCTTAATATAATATTATTATTTTTATTTGTGTAATGGGCCCAACAGATCTTATATTCGAATTTTGGGCCCAACTCATTTCGAATTCAACCCAATTGGACCCCAGCAGCACTTAACGCCCAATTGCCGCCCAATTACAATTATAACATATTTACGGTATTACCCCTCCTCTTTGAAACAAAATAAATAAATAAAAATGTCATTTTCACATTGAAGTAGTGGCTTCTAGACACCATTACCAACCATACCATACCTAAGAAATAAATATGTAACACCCCATAAATTGAAAGATCATAAATATTAATAGAGAGAAAAAAACAAATATTTACATGCATGCACTTAAGGGATGAGGATGTGAAGGAGGGGGGGCACGCGGAGCACGTGACGACAATTCAAACTAAAAAGAAAGTGATGAGGTCTGAGTGCACGTGGAGCTATGCTCTGTCAGAGAGGGATCAGATTCTTACATATCAGGTGTTCTGTACGCCGAGCCTTTTATCGTGTGGAGATTAAAGTATTAATCTTTAATACTATTTATAAATGTTAATATAATTTGATGAATAACAATTTAATCATGATGTAATAAAAGCAATTGTGAAAAAATCTAATCTTATATTTTACGCATTGCAGTTTTAATTACTGTCTATGAAAGAGGCAGCAAAGATGTTCCCCGGCAAGCTAATTATAATAATCTGACAGGAATTGCCATGTCAGCAACCACATTCACGTGCCAGATAATGTCTTGTCCACGTGCCAATTTGTTAGTGAGAGGGAACATATATATGGCCCATTTATATATATATATGACCAAAAATTATAGGAAGAAGAAATTAAATGGAAATGGAGTGCCAAATTAGAAATGGTCCAACGGTATGGCGAATGATATGAAGAGAGTTGGTCGTAGGGACGACCGAGTCACAAATTATGGATACATTAGTATTGATCAAGAAAGCTTGCTTAGTTGACTTAACACAAATTGTCCTTACCCTCAAAATATTGACTTTGAATTTCATGTTAATTACAAACATGGTGTAAACGAATTGAGTCGAGTCGAACGCATACAGTCGAATCAGACTCTACCTACTTCAGTTCATGAGTAAAGATTCTAATTGAGTACGTACTCGTTTTTTCAATTAAGAATAAAAAGCTAATTAATTATCAAAGAAGCTTTTTGAGTAGTGCATGTATATAATTAATCTTATTTCAAAGTATACATATATATATATATAAAAGAAGATCAACTTAGAAGATCGACATTGTCGAGCTTTATAACACACAAACACCCATATTTGGTACCTAAGTCAGATGTATCAGATATTCTCAATCAAGAGAAGGGGACCATATAACTCTTGAGGGCTTTTTTTCTGCAAAGAAAGTGATTTTGCCTTAGAAAATAAAAATGTCGGAATATGAATACAGAATTAGCAAATCTGAAAGAGGAATTAAGAAAGCATGTGATCTTGATAAGGATTAAGGGGGCAAAAATCTGGCATTCCACGAACTCCTAACCAGCATTAATTATTTAATTCCGATTAATTAACTTAAGTCCAAGACTTTGCTTTCGGGTCACTGTTTAATCATGTTGCCATGTTTTCCATTTCTTTTTTTAATTTATTTCCATGATTATATACAATTGCGTGTGTTATGTTTCACCATGTGACAAATAATAAGAAACCAGTTATATATATAGACTTAACTTGTTAAAGGAAATAAATATGCATGTATATAACAAGTTGAAAATAATAATTGAGCTCATGCAAAACAAATCAATAAAAATAGTATATATTATTACAAAATTATTCTTCTATTTTGTCGACTAGCTAACTTGATCGTGACATATGAACAATCTATGTATAACAGTATTATAAATTAACTGATTGATTGATTGAAAGAAGAAGAAGAAGAGGAAGAAGAAGAAAACAGTAAAACGCATGTAGTAATTAATTTGTTAAAATATTCTTAATTAATATACTAATTTAGGAACCCTCAATTATTTATTCTTTTGGGGGTGCAGTACTGCAGTAAACTTCTAATAATTCTGGTGGTGAATCTAATGTCCATTCGAGATGTGACAACTTGATAATTAAACTTCCACTTTTACTTTATTGATTTGAAATCATTTTTTTATTTTATTTAAATAAAAACCCATCATGAAAGTAAATAATATTTCCAGGCTTTTCTCCATTTCTTCACTCTGAAATAGCCGATAAAAATTACTAATCAAAATTGAAAAAATATGATTAAGAAGTATTTATACTTAACGTTATGGATTTAGACTTGTAAAAAAAATTATTTTATCAATTGGGCCGAAAAAGATTGGGGTTCTCCATAACTTGTTGAGCATCGATTAGTTTTTAGCTCATAGCTGTGTGTATGAGTTTGAACCAATAATATTAGATCGGACTTAAATTTTTGAATTTAGGCCCATCATATCGAAATTTGAATATTCTATAGGCCATTCAAGATACTACGGTTACGATTGCTCAACTAAAACTATAACTAAAACTAAAAATAAAAATTATCCGATTGGTGCCAACTTAATAAGAACATATTATTCACTTATCATTTGGTTGTTTGGAATAAAAACAAAATAAATGAAATGTAGGAAAGGTGGTGAATAATTAGTTGGTGGGAGCATGTGCACCGGTATCTAATTTGGTAGTTTGGTGTAAAATTATTCAACGCATTAGGGATAAATTAGATTCAGACAAATAAATAAACACTGCCTATTATATATGTTATGTGGTAGAGATGAAAGATGCCTCCTATTTGATTCACCAAACCTTGAAAATAACTACACCTTCATTCGTAATTATTTAAAAACAGAGATAGACTAAAAAATAATTATTAGAAAAGATCCACATTATTTATATTAAGTATTTTGGACTGCATCTTGTAACTTGTTCGTTTGGTAACACCATTTTTTGACGGTATTCCGACTTAAGAGAGATATACATTTTTATATGAATTGATAATTATTTTATTTGCAAGATAAACCAGTTTAGCTAAATCTATTTTAAACTGTTGATAAACTCTTATGTCTTTATAAGTTTCTTATGTCTTATTTTTAGAATTAATTTTTAAAGTGTGTACGGATAATGAACTTAAAAGCTTTTTTTAACAGCTTATATAAATTGATAATTCCACATATTGGTCTGATTTACCGTTAATTTTTCCTAACAATTCCTTGATTTGCTCCATTAATTAGTTTATTAGTAATTAGTAAAAAATTAGATCCTAATTAAGCAAGTGTTACGTTTAATCCCAGAAGAGGTTTATATTTATTAAATTTAAAATTTCCCAATTCTCAACTTCCAAAGTCATCAGCTTTTTCTTTTAAAAAGAATTAATATTACAAAATATATATGGTACATTTAGCAGGACTGTTTCTGTAATTGCCTCCCACTATATTGCACTTTCATCAAATCACAATGTGCCCCCACATAAACGTAGACTATAACAGTAGTATTTTTCTTTATTTCGAAATTACTATAATAATTTTATTTAAAAATTCAAAAAAGAACAATAAATTTTATTTTTCAGTAAGTAGAGTAAATTCAATAGTTTCTTGAATTTGACTTTGTTTCCAAATCATATCCGTGATTTTAAATTTGAATTTTAAATTCACGCCATTGTACAGAAAAAAGAAATATTCAATTTTATTCCTAAATAGTTGCGGTCGAAATCAGTGCATTTAATAACGTAGCATAATTAGCATGCTGATAATTGCGTCCTAATTCACGTAATTAAAATTAAATTCCCACACAAATTTTGCTAAAATAGGTACAAGGAGTTTTAGGAAATTCGAAAAAGACCCAAAAGAATCAAAATTTGCCAAGCTGGCATTCAGACCGCGCGTGCCGACTCCTTTATATTCCTCTCTTTCCTGTTCACTTCTCTTCATTATATTTTTTCTCGCTTTCTTCTGTTACAAATCTTCTTTCCGTTTCTTCTTCCCTCTGTTCACACACACACACACACAATTACACAAACTCATTAAACAAAAAAATGTATACCAGAGAGGAGAATTATCATTACAAAACAAGAAAAAACAGCATGAACACACCTTCATTTTCCTCCACCCTTCTCGACGAAATCTACCGCTCAATCGACGGCGGCGCCGCCGCGGCTGAAAAACCAGAGGGTTTCAACGAAAAGCCTCTCAGAAAACAGGGCGGCGGTGGTTGTGCTTCTGTCAGAAGGGTTTGTCTGGTCGAGAAATGGATGGAGAAGGAGGCTAACGAGAACGTCGTTGCTAAAAAAACGGCGGCGGCGGCATTGTTGCCGGAGCTGGACAACAACGATCTGCTGTTCTTCAGCTCGACTTCGAGTTCTTCCGACAGCTCCGGCGCACTTTCTTCATCGTCGGAAACAGAGTTCTTCGGCTCCTCCTCCACGAAGAAGCCGCCCAAGGTTTCTTGTTTCTCATCAACAAGACCTAAACCGGTTCGGACCGGCGCCACGACCCGAGTTGAAACAAAACCGCAAAAGGACAACCGGTTTTTGTTCGACGATTACAACAACAACAGCAACAAGAAGAACCAGGATCATCAGAAAAGCAAAACGGGAGATGATTTGCTGATCAAGTCAAAATCCAGGGCTTTAAAAATCTACGCCAATTTGAAGAAAGTGAAGCAGCCAATTTCTCCAGGTGGGAAGCTCACAAGTTTCATCAACTCCTTCTTCACCAATGGCAATAACGTAATTAATACAAAGATTCAGGATTCTTCGAAGTCTTCACCAAAGGCCTCGTCAACTACTTGTTCGTCGGCTTCTTCGTTTTCCAGGTCATGTTTGAGCAAATACTCGCCGAAATCAAGGGAGAAAATCAAGAACGGCGTTCAAAGAAGTGTGAGATTTAATCCAGTGAGCGTTGTCGTTGATCAAGATTTAAGGCCGTGCGGGCAAAAACCCGTTTACGAAAGGCCTCCGTTGCCACCAAATTCATTGGCAAAGTTGAAATTTAGCAAAATGGAGAAAAATATCGAAGTTGAAGATGCTGCAAAGAATGTTCTAAGAGGGTATTGTAGTAAAAACGGCGACAATTTGTCCTTGTTTAGGAAAATTTGCGACGAACAATATGACGACGAAGACGATGATGATGCAATGAGTGATTCGAGTTCGGATTTATTCGAGCTCGACCACTTAGCATTCTTTGGAGACAAAAGATTCTGCGAAGAATTACCCGTGTACGAAACTACTCGTTTAGACACTAATCGCGGTGTTGTTAGCCGTTTGGTTCGTTAATTACACCGGAATAATATGTATTTTCTTTTAGTTTTTATTTTATTTTATTTGAGTTGTACATTTCTTCTTTATTGAACTATAGGGCTCTTTTTCAGAATGCTTTTGATCATAATCACACATATAAAAAAATTGGTAGTAGTAGATGTTACTTTACAATATATGGAATTTGATGATGTAAATATAAATAAATAAATATAAATGTGGGATTTTGTGGTAAAAAAGCAGGATTTGGAATGGAGACAAACACTGAAAAAGAAGGGGAAAATGGGGTGTGTTCGTTGATCCCAAGTTTGTTAGAGTGTGACTGATTTTGATAAAACAGAGGACCAAAAAAAAAAGCAGAGAAATCTAGAGAGAGAGAGAGAGAGAGAGAGAAATCTAGAGAGAGAGAAATCTAGAGAGAGAGAGAGAGAGAGAGGGGATTCGAGATCAAAATGAGAAGCAGTGAAATAGTAAAGGGAAAGACAAATCTTCCCCATGGGAATAGGGAAAGTGAATATCTTTAACTTTATTTAATTTTTATTTGAAGGAATTTTGGTTGCTTCGAAATGTTGTTCAAACAGATCCCTATGTAAAGTGGCACTTGTTTGGGAGTGCTTCTCTCTTCAACAATTACTAATTCTTTTTTCTAAAATTAATTAAAAAAAAAGAAAAAAAATCATTTTCCCCCCTCTTTTTTTTTTCTTTTTTTTTTTAAGATTTTTATCAGCAACGGCTTTATTGGTCAAGATCTAAAGAATGATGGAAAATGTTACTTATTTATCCTAGGTATAAAAAGACATGACAAGTTAGTATGTAGATTGTAGACTCGAAATTCAATATTTGTACTTTGAATTTTGCTAAAGATTAATATAACAGTAAATGATATTTATGAAATACTACTAGAGATTGAGAAAGACATATTCAATTTCATAGGTACGAATTACGAATCTTATATATGTCTTGTCCTTGTTTATTAACTAAACATTGCAGCATTGATTGCAGTAAACTTAAAAAAATGCAATAAATTAAGGCCATAGGGTTTTTTGAAATACAATAAAATAAAATGTTCAGCCGACGTAGTTTAGTTTAAGTTTGAGTGAGTAAATATGTTAGGCCAATGTACAATTATTAATTAATGGCTTCATCAAATTAAAACCTTTTTTATTTTCTGGGACCATTTTTTGCTCAACTATCAATTCAGTATTTACATACAATAAAATAGGCCCGAACTCCAACTAACCTAATAATAATAATATATATACAGTTGGAAATGTGAATTAGAAAATGTAGCTTTAATGCTTATTAAGTAAAGGATCCAAGGAGAAATGAAACTGCAAGTCATCTAAAAATGTTTGTCTTGTGTATTTGGATATTCCTAATAAGAACTAACAAATTAAAACGACGTAGTTTATTTAGCTCATTAAGTAGTAGTACGTGGGAGCATGCAACTTTTTAAATATTAATATTAAAAAAGAAAAAGAATGACCAAATGATTTATTAAGAATCATTATATTAATATATATATATATCTATAGCATATAATTGTTATATATAATATAATATATTGTTCATTCTATGAATGTGGTTTTGTTGTTGTACACTAAAAAATAGTTCATGAAGAAGGTTCCATCAACCTACATATTACTTTATTATGATGATATATTATATATACAATTAGAATAAATTTAATAGAAGCCTCTTTTTTTAGGGATGATTCTCTTCGGCTTCCTAATGGTTGGTGAAAGTGAAGTGGGGTATTAGTACAAAGCCACCAACATTAACAATCAACAATCAATTTTATTTTTTTTAACTGACATAAAGTTTTACTATTTGTATTTCAAAATTAATTAAATGAAACTGGGCTTTTTGGATGATTGGGCTCAATAACACCATATTGGAATCTTCCACTTGCCCAACCGTCCTCAATATTATTGGTAACATCGTCTATTTTGTCAATTGACTCTTTCTTTTATTTTTTTATGTTACTAAATGTCGAAATTGAATGAATTTTAATTATTCATATGTAATTAGTTAGTCCCACTTTCTTGATGAATTTTGTTAATACAGACCAGACCAACTTGGATGTAAAATACATGATGTAAAAGACATGAATATTCATCAAATTATCCGCCCAAAATTCTGTCCAATTATATTCAACACTCAAGCCTCTAACTAAACATATATATAAGATATAAGATAATATAATTTTGCCCTAATCTGCATATTCCCCCATCTCAATTTTCTTTTTTTATTCCTACTTGTAATAATAGACATGATTAGTGATAATGCAACGACTACCCCCGATGATAAAATCATTCCATTTAGCCCTAGCCGGAGAAAGGCTGCCACCACCGCGACCTCGTCTCGAGGCTTTTGTAGGCGGCTGAGCGACTGCATTGTTATGGGCCCCGCGGCTACATCAAACCGAGTCAAAATAGAGCGACGCACAATAGAATTCGATCAACGTTCTCATGATCAGGTACTTGTTACAAATATGATAAAAAAAAATATAAAATTGTGTTCTTATAATTTAATTATGATCTGAAATATGTGATCTTTTTTTTTTTTTTTTTTAAAAAAAAAAGAAGGTAGAGGAAATAGAAAGGGAGGTGCAAAAGGAGAGAGAGATGAAGGGAATGTACAAGGCAAGGCTAGAAAAAACACAAGTATTCCTTAAATACTGTCTTCAAGTAGCACAAGAGAATGGATTCTTGGATCTCATGCTAAACAACAATGATAATAAAAACCATGATTATTTTTCTCTCTCTCCATCCACTATCAGCAGCCCCCCACCCCCTTCTCCTCCCCAATCCCACCCCCATCTTGCCCCCCTCATACATCAAGCCAAAGTCAATGGTTGGTATATCCACCCTCAAGAGGTTCTCTCTCTCTCTCTCTCTCTCTCTCTCTCTCTCTCTCTCTCTCTCTCTCTCTCTCTCTCTCTCTCTCTCTCTCTCTCTCTCTCTCTCTCTCTCTCTCTCTCTCTCTCTCTCTCTCTCTCTCATGAATGAATGAATGAATGAATGAATGATACGATTACATTACAATAATTTATTACCTTCTTTTCTTATTTTATTAGATTTTTTGCTTCCTAATTAATCCTTATTATAAGATGAGTAATATAATGAGAGGATGAAGATTTGCTAGGGTTTGTATTTTTCTTTAAATATTGCAAGGCAAAATCTACTTTAGGGTTCTTACAAATGATCATTATATAAGTATGAACAGATTGAAATGATCCATCTGTCAGCACAAGGAAGCACCGCAGACATATACAGAGGAAAATGGAGAGGCGTCCACGTGGCAGTCAAATGCATGTATCCAGATTTCTTCCAGTCGAACGAAAACGGAGTAATCTTCTTCGGACAAGAAGTCGAAACCCTATCGAAACAGCGCCACCCGTTCGTGCTCCAGCTGATCGGAGCCTGTCTCGACCCGCCCGATAACTGCTGGATCGTTACCGAATTTCTCGCGACCAACTTGAAAGATTGGCTGCATGGACCTGGAAAAAGGAATAAGGAGAGAAAGATTCCGGTCCCGCCATTGAAGGACAGAATCGAAAAGGCGTTGGAGATTTCGCAAGCCATGCAGTATCTTCATGAGAGTAAGCCCAAGATTCTTCATCGGGATTTGAAGCCGAGTAACATTTTCTTGGACGATGCTTTGCATGTTAGGGTTGCGGATTTCGGGCATGCCCGTTATTTGACTGACGGAGAAAAGGCACTCACCGGAGAAACAGGTATATATATTATAGAAATATTACACCGTGGAAATTCGACGAACTAGATTCCAATTTATAACTAATGAGTGAAATTCAAAAGTTTAGCTAGGAGTTTTGATCTCTAAAATAATAGTTTCTTTGTGTTCATATATTGAGTTATTACCAATGATCTTTTTATAATACATAGAGAAATTTATGCTAATAATTAAAATAGTAGAGGGATTATATTCTTGGAAACTCTATAAATTTTAATTACATTGTTTGAATTATTGAGTTAGGTACATTTGTGTACATGGCCCCTGAGGTGATTCAATGTGGACCATACGATGAAAAATGTGATGTGTATAGCTTCGGGGTGATTTTGAACGAGCTTATGTCGGGCGAGCATCCTTACATTCACACAGATTTTGGACCTTCTAAGGTTTGTTATGTACTTTATTTATTTATTTATTACATTTCATTTTGTCGAAATCTATTATGTATTATTACATTTAATTTGCTCGTGATTTTTATATTAATTTTGTTGTATAAATTGTGGAAAATATTTATGAACAGATAGCCCTGGAAGTGGCAGAAAATGGATTGAGACCAAGAATTGCTGAGCTGGACGATGAATTAATTGAAGTTGTGATTAATGATCTTATTAAAAGATCATGGGATCAAGATCCGACAGCTAGACCCGGTTTCTCTGACATTACATCCATTCTGAGAGTTACTCACAACAGATTATACCATGGTATCCAAGAATGAATTACTTTTTCTTTTTTCCTTTTTTTTTTTTTTTTTTTATTCAAACATTAGAATGAACTACCAATAATCAAATATTCGTTTAGCATTTTAAATGTTAATACTTTGCAATTTCAAGGTTCTTGATTTTTTGGTCTTTGTAACAGTACTTGATGAATATTTTTTTTTGGTGGTTAATTATTTTTGTGCGAATTGTCCCAAGGTTTAGTGTTGATTTCAGTTATTTTCGTGTTTATGTTTACCGATATTTAACATTTCAGTATTTTGGATGTGATAAATGTCGATCGATTCAGTTTTAATACTACTATTACGATTTTAAGCGTGATTTTGATAATTTTTTTAGGGTGAATTTGACAAAACTTAAAACACGAAATTTATAGTTCTTTGAGTTTGATTTCTAGTCAAACTTGAATTAACAAGATTGGATGTCGGGTGAGAAAGATATGCATGAATCAATGAATATTGCCCTCAATTTCGATAATTTGAGTTATCCAAAATTCAAAATGTAACTCATTCATGCATAACTTTATCATATGACATTTAATCTGGCCGATTCAAGTTGGATTAGAAAGCTAAGTCAAATGGCTACAATTTCCATGTTTTGAGTTTTGCAAAAATCAGACTGAAAAAATGCCAAAATCACGTTCGAAGTCAACAGAGTAATAGAAAAATTGAAGTAACATTTAACAATATTCAGTATACAACTACAAGCAGGATATATATGAGGAAAAAGTTAAATGTAAGATGTATACCAAAAAAATGATAATAATAATAGAGGATTCAGTACTACTTGACAGACAAGCAGAGTCTTTTGAAAAGATGTCATTGTTCTTGCTAATAAATGTAAGTTTGTAATAATTACAGAATGTGCTGCCAGTTTTGTTGATATGTCATATGTCTCTGCATTATTTCTTGAAAATTATACTGATTGCAATGGCGCTGCTAATGGACTGTTTGTTCAATTATATGTATTACTTGTCGTTTATAATGATTTAATATTGGTCGATTCGGCCGATAGTAATACTAATTATTGTAACTGTATTAATATTTTCAACACTTTCTTTTTTTTCGTTTATGTTGAAGATATAAAAATTAAATAATTCATCGATCCCACAACTTAAATTTGATTAGTGGATAGTTATTTAATTTCACCAGGTGTATGATCTTATCTTATCGACATGTTTTAGGCCGATTTGGTCATGTATTTTGTTTATTGTGGTTTACAGCTCTTGTGTAATTTGCAGAGTTATTAAGGAAGAGTACTGAATTTAGCCAATATAATACGCATTGAATTATTGCGATTTTTTTTGCTAGGTAAAAAAAAAAAAACAAATAGGGAAAGAATATGATAGAAGATGGAGGGTGGGGTAGTGTTGAATTCTTTGCAGATATTTGAAGTGAACACAGATATTGTTCGGGCGCCATTTTATTAGAATCTCTCTCTCTCTCTCTCTCTCTCTCTCTCTCTCTCTCTCTCTCTCTCAGCAGTCTTATCGAAGTCGATTCTTTGATCACTTAGTTTGGAAGCAAAAGCTTTAATATTTATATCAAATTCAATAATAATGTAGACAAGTGTAAACTACACACACTCCTGGAATTTTCTCAGAGTACAGTTACGGCGGCGATCGGCTACTCTTCCACGGCAATCAAGTAGGCCCTTTTTCTCTACTATCTTACAATTTTCAACGTCAATAGTTAGTATGGTGGACAACCAGAGAAGGAAGAGTGACATCATCATCAACATACCCGACGACGATGAAAAGGATTCTAATTTTCCAATCCCATCATATCCTCCTCCAAATGATCGACGCCACAAACTTTCACTCGATGCACCGCATCGATTATCGAACGATTCGACATTTAGTCCCCGACAATCGGTGGCAAGGAGTTGCCCTTCGCCCGAAATATCAAGGTTTAGTCCAAGCCCCATTAACTTTATGCCTCCCATAACTCGCGAAAAATCACTTTCGAGGCCAATTTACTCGAAGCCCAAATCAAGATTTGGTGAACCATCCATGCCTATTGATAGTAAGATACTTGAAGATGGAGCTTTAGTCGAAGATTACGCTGTCTCGTTTAGTCCATTAATCTCGTCACCGAATCGGTTTGGTGGAGTTGATGAGGATAAAAAAACATACAAGAAAGTCAATAGTAGGAGATTGCTCAAGTGTAGGAAAGTGAAAACCAAGGTTTTGATCGAATGGTTTCTTTTTATTTTCATTACGGGGTGTTTGGTTATGAGTTTAACGGTCGATAAGTTCAAAAATTGTAGGATTTGGGGTTTGAGAATTTGGAGGTGGTTTATGCTTGTCTTGGTGACTATTAGTGGCTTGTTGTTTACCGAATGGTTGATGGATCTTGTCGTTTTATTGATCGAGTTGAACTACTTGCTCAAAAAGAAGTTGTTGTATTTCGTTTACGGTCTAAAAAAGAGCGTCCAAGTCTGTATTTGGTTGGGTTTGATCCTTCTCAATTGGGTTTTTATAATCGAGGAAGGTGTCAAACAATCCCGTTTAGCCGCTCGGATTTTAAGTATCATAACGTGGACCATCGCTTCGTTGCTAATCGGCGCATTCCTATGGCTAGTGAAAACATTTCTGCTAAAGATACTAGCATCCACTTTCCACGTGAACACGTTCTTCGACAGGATTCAAGATTCCATATTCCATCAGTATATTCTCATGACTCTGTCGGGCCCGCCGGTTATGGAGTCGGTGAACATTATCATCGAAACGAGCAGCACCAAGAATAATTCGAGGTCGTATGTTGTAAGAAAGGGAAGAGAGGGAAAGGGGAATCGAAAGAGAGAGTATATCGACATCAATAAACTTCATCAGATGAAGCAAGAGAAGATCTCTGCTTGGACGATGAAGATGTTGGTCGACGTTATACATAATTCGGGTTTGACCACTCTTTCGAATGCGATTGACGAGAGTGTATACGATGGAGGAAACGGACAAAAGGATAAAGAGATCACTAATGAAGAGGAGGCAATTTCTGCTGCCTATCACATTTTCAGACATGTAGCTAAGCCTGGTTGCAAGTGAGTGAGAAACAATTTTTTATTTTTCAATATTATATATTAAATATTAATCCTGTATCTAATTAATTTTCAGGTACATTGATGAAATGGATATAAGCAGATTCATGATCAAAGAAGAGGTGGAGATTGTTTTTCTGATGATCGACTTGGCCGAGACTCGGCAGATTGATCGAAAAACTTTCACAGACTGGGTGGTACTATATTGCCATACGACTTTTTTCCGAAATTTGTTACGTTATTCATCATTTTCTTGATTTGGTTATTTTTGTGCAGGTGAAGGTTTACAAAGGTCGAAAAGCGTTGGCTCATGCGCTTACAGACACGAAGACAGCTGTCAAACAATTGAACAAGCTTGTTACCGGGATTTTGATTGTTATAATGATAATAGTGTGGCTTTCATTGACCGGAATAGCAACCACCAAAGTGCTTGTTTTGCTCTCTTCGCAGCTCGTTCTTTCGGTTTTCGTGTTTGGCAACACTTGCAAGACTATTTTCGAAGCTATTATTTTTGTCTTTGTGATGCACCCTTTTGATGTCGGGGATCGTTGTGTTATCGATGACGTTCAGGTAATTTCCACGAACATCCGGCTTGGTTGTTTGTTTTATGTTCACTCTACTTATCGTTTTTTTTTTTTTTTTTTTTTTTTTTATTTGAATAATTTATATAGATGATCGTGGAAGAAATGAATATCTTGTCGACCGTGTTTCTGAAATATGATAACGAGAAGATATACTATCCGAACTCTGTTTTGTCTACAAAACCAATCAGCAATTTCTATAGAAGCCCCGATATGGGGGATTCGGTCGAGTTCTCGATTGATTTCAATACGCCATTGGAGAAGATAGGTGCTTTAAAGGAAAAAATCAAGAAGTGAGTTCATTTTTATTCGAATACGTACGATATACCATATTCGATATTTTTTATTTATTAATTGCGTTTCGTTGTATAATTTGCAGGTATCTAGAGAAAAATCCACAGCATTGGCATCCAAACCACAGTGTGGTAGTGCAGGAGATAGAGAACGTAAACAAGATCAAAATGGGGCTTTACATCAACCACACGATGAATTTTCAAGACTATCGGGAGAAAACCAGACGTAAAACTCAAGTGATTCTCGAAATGAAGAGAATTTTCGAAGAGCTGAATATTAGATATGATCTTCTTCCTCAGCATGTACACCTTCTCGACTCGAAAAGGGCGCTTTCGTAATCTTGATAGCCATAAAATGTTAATAAAATTTCATATATATATCATAGATATTGCAATTTGTTTAGTGGTTCTTGAAAATCCTTTAGACCAGTTATTATTGTCATTTGCTATGAAATATAAATTGTGTATCTTCTGCCTCAAATCAAATGTTAATAAAATAAATAATTATTAAATTACAAACTCATTTTAATATCACAAAATGTTTGGTTGTCTGGCCCATTAAAATAGAATAATGGGCTGATCAGATGCATGCGTAGATTATTATTTCACACTTATGGCCTTGTTCGAGAAAATATCAGACAATTGCAAAACACGTGTTTTTTTAATAATATTATTATTATTATTATTATTATTATTATTATTATTATTATTATTATTATTATTATTATTATTATTATTATTATTATTATTATTATTATTATTATTATTATTATTATTATTATTATTATTATTATTATTATTATTATTATTATTATTATTATTATTATTATTATTATTATTATTATTATTATTATTATTATTATTATTATTATTATTATTATTATTATTATTATTATTATTATTATTATTATTATTATTATTATTATTATTATTATTATTATTATTATTATTATTATTATTATTATTATTATTATTATTATTATTATTATTATTATTATTATTATTATTATTATTATTATTATTATTATTATTATTATTATTATTATTATTATTATTATTATTATTATTATTATTATTATTATTATTAATATTATTATTATTATTATTATTATTATTATTATTATCATT